AACTCCTTGCAAGTGACCTCCTTTTTCTTCTTGGGAGCCTCTTTGGCGGCCTGCGACAGCACAATACAAAAGAACACATTCTTGCTTTCTATTCACATCAAACATCCTCTCCCAGCCTCCTCTTTGCCTTTGGCACCTGTTTCAGTGAGCACAACAAGTGTTGATCTATGCGGTTGCTGTGGAATCTAGCCCAGCTTGTTGTGACATCGTGATTTGAGGCATCGTTGTGACATTGAGTGACTTGGATTGTGTGCATCTCGTGGACACTTTTAACAGATTGCGGCGTTTGGATGTTAAGACGAATCCGCAAGTATGTAGTCACCACATCGTCCATGGTATGCAACTCCACCTTTCCAAGAATGTTTTCTGTTGTTGTGCAAGTTTCCCCCAACATCTACGATTCAAATGAATGGCGTCAGCTATCCTGTGTCCATGTGTATCGTTTGCTTCTAGTAACTAGTAGCTACTTGAAATGCCTACACAAACAGGTATGTTTAACCTGGCCATCGATCGCTATTAGTTGAGTTTCCCTAAAAATCTAGGAACCAAATGAATAGTGCGAGCGTGAGCTATCCGTTCAGCTACTAGTAGCTTAATGCTTAAGTAAGCTACTATAAGCTACTAGCTACCTCTGCCTTACTACTTAAGTAGGGAGGAGGGGAGCGGTCTAAACAGAAACCCATCCATCAGACCTTTGGACCGGAGTCCTTCAAACCCTTTCTTCCATTTCGTGGAGTCCTTCTATGTCTCGTCTCGTCCTTACTTAGTTCCTTTGTGTCCGCCTGGGTTGCACATCGTAAGTGTTTATTTTAAGTCGAGACATGGTTTTCCTTTCCTGTGCTGACAGAAGCACACAAGCAATCAAGTTCCAAGTGAAACATGTCTTGAACTGACATAGCAGTGAATTGTCAGCATTCCAACAGGTTGGAGGCCATTGCTATTAGGAAGGAGGCCATCGCTACTAGATTGGAGGCCATTGCTCTTAGGTTGGAGAGGTGCTTCAAACAGGAGCTACATCCCCACCTTTGTCGGTATCAGCGGCTGGTTTGGCCGACGACTCCTCCTCATGCATTCCCAAAAAACAACAGCACTGTTTCACATTCAACAAAGTAGTCAGAACCTAAACCTGAATGTGTAACCTAGGCCCTAGGCTTTTTCTATGCTTCTCTGCGACGTATTCTTCCAAAACGGAGAGTCGTCTAATGCACTGCTCCTTGTCTTTCTTGGTCTTGGAGTCTGTCTTGCTGGGCTTGTCTGGCTCAGCCTGGTTTGCGATCACTAGTGTCCCTAGCATAGTGCACGACAAAAACGCGGGCTACTGCAATTCATGCCGGTTCATGTGCGACAAGATATGGTAATGTATTAGGCAACTACAGCCAAGCACCTCTGATTTCCGCTTCTTTGCAGGTGCTGGGGCATCGGCCTAACAGCGACTGACAAGAAGTAGCAACTCACAACACACCGACCTCTGTTGTCAACAAACTCCTTGCAAGTGACCTCCTTTTTCTTCTTGGGAGCCTCTTTGGCGGCCTGCAACAGCACAATACAAAAGAACACATTCTTGCTTTCTGTTTACATCAAACATCCTCTCCCAGCCTCCTCTTTGCCTTTGGCACCTTCCAGGTATCCAAAGTTCTTGCTTTAGCCAGCATTTCTGCTTAGACAAAGCATGGGGACAATGCGTTTCTGCATTTCTCGCTGTTTGGCCTCTGTCTCGGTCTTTTCTTGCACGTGGTTTGGCTGAAGACTCCTTGGTAACTATGGGATCAACGTGTCCAACATTTTTATCTACTTTTTGAGTGAACTCTTGCAAAGCAATTAGATTGGAGGCCACCGCTACTAGGCTGGAGATCCTCGCTAGTAGGTTGGAGGCCATCGCTAGTAGTGATCTTGGAATGTAGGTGTAGTTGCTATTAGTACAGAACGAAGCTATCAAGCAGGCTATGGGTAGGCTAATGCTACTAGGCTCCTTGAACTAAATCAGGAAAAAACTAGGCAAGGGGTGCTTGAGTCTTTGCTTGGAGAAAGGGTCTTTAACTATGAAACAAGAAACACAAACAAAGCAACATTTAAGGTTTAAAGGGCCAAAGAACCAAAGATCAGCATAATGATAAGAGAACATCTTTTAAGACATGGATTTTTGTTGCTTGTAGTATCAAGCTTGAGTCCAACCTAAACCCGGAAAACTTAATGTCTTTTGAACAAATTCCTTCCTTGTCTTTTACACTTTCATCTTTTTGAATGTGTCTTCACTTTTCTTCATCCTGCTGACCTTTCTTTCTCCTTTCTTAGGAAGAAACACGTCTCGGCATCTCAAAGAATTGCAGAGTCATTCCGTTGCCATAAGCTCCCCACGGATCCAGAGGAACTATCACTGGAAGAGCCTCAGGCTGTTGAGCACAGCCTTCTTTGTAGACTTAGCTAGATGGCCTAGAACCTACTAGCGATGGCCTCCAACCCACTTGCAATGGCCTCCAACCTACTAGCGATGGCTCCTACGAAGTAGCAAGGGTAGTGAAGGACACATTTTTGTCGTATTGATGTAAGACCATGGAGGGCCTCAAGAGTATCCTCGAGATCTCAACCGCAGCTCCACTTTCATTTCCAACGAAACAAACATGAGGATCTTGCCTTCCGATGAAGAACATGAGGACCTCAAGTTGAATTGCAAGCAAGAGCTTTGAGGCATTTTAGTAGCTGCAGCAAGCACAAGTTACTTTTGAATAAACACAAACGGAACAGTTTGGACATCTCTAAGTAGATGTTCTTTTCTATTTTTTATCTTTCTTGAAGGCTTTGGGTCTGGTTTTCCATTGAACAGCTTTGGTGCAGCTATCTTCTTGTTCAGAGAGCAAATGGTGGAGGCACATAAAATGAACCCATCAGTGGTAGTAAGGGTGAGTAGAAGCGCTCTACATTCCTTGCAGGAATGCGTTTTGGATCAAACACTTAGACTCCAAGTCGCAACATAGTGTCTAGTAGAGGGTTATATTGAGAAACACATCATCCTCCTTTGTCCTACTTTCCCTTTCGACCCTGTGATGTGACCTGTGTTGCTCAGTCTTCCTCCAACTTAATATCCATGGGCCATGGCCTCCAACCTACTTTTGCGATTGCCTCCAACCTATACTTGCGATGGCCTCCAAGTCCAACCTACTTTTGCGATGGCCCCCAAGCTACTTTTGCGATAGCCTCCAACCTACTTTTGCGATGGCCTCCCCCTAAGTCTCTCTCCTTTCTTTCTGTTTTCCAAATCCTGGGATCCCCAGCTCGCTTCGTCCCCGACGGAGCTCCCGCGCAGGCGCACGAGGCTCCCGGTCACGTCGATCCCGGCGCTCGCCGCGGTCTTCACGCCGCTCCTCGCGCTGCTCCCACTGCTGTCACGACATGATTGCAAAGAACAAAGAAATGAACCTCAAAGTGAAAACAGCTTATTGGCAAAGGAACACATGAAAAAACAGGAATCGCTTGACAACCTCCATTTCTGAAGCTTCGATGAAATTGAAGGTCCCTGGAGAGGACAGGAACACCTCTAATATAGGTCTTGACTGCCAGATGTTTTGCTAATTTATTGCGGAATATTGATTTTTGCATTTTAAAGACGCAACAAATGCTCTCGCCGCCTATGCCAAACGCACACCCACTCTGTTGTCCCACTCCTCGCGCTGGCCACGTTCCCTGCTGTAGGACCGGTCGCGGCCACCGCGATACCGGGCGTCACGGCTGTCGCTCCGGCCGCGGGCGTCTCTCTGGCGCTCCTGACGGACGCAACGCCGCAACGATACAACAGATCCTCCAACCCACTTGCGGTGGCCTCCAACCTACTAGCAACCGCCTCCAACCCACTTGCGGTGGCCTCCAACCTACTAGCAACCGCCTCCAACCTGCTTGCGGTGGCCTCCAACCTACTAGCAACCGCCTCCAACCTGCTTGCGATGGCCTCCAACCTACTAGCAACCGCCTCCAACCAAGTTGCGATGGCATCCAACCTACTAGCAATGGCCTCCGACTTACTTGTTATCGAACCTAAGAGCGATGGCCTCCAACCTTTCCCTCCAACCCAATAGCAATGGCACCCAACCTAAGAGTGATGGCTTCCAACCTAAGAGCAATGGCCTCCAATGGCGTTTTCCAAAATCCAAAAGCACAGACTTCAAGATCGACTCAATTAGTGTATTATTTTTAGTTGCAACAGCCTCCCGGGTATCTTCTTTCACTTCTTTCTTGACCCTGACAGGCTGATCCGATCAACTTCTCACAAGAGTACAGTCGACTGCAACCTGCAAGTTGGCCAAGGCTTTCCTGGAGCTGGACAATTGGGTTTTCATACATGACGGCTGTTGTCTTCTTCCCTCAACAAAGCTTTCCCCAGACACAAAGGGCCGACTTAAGCGGTTGACGTGGCTCACCCTCAAACCGTAAACGCCTCAGATCCTGTTTGGGCTTGGGCTTCTTGAGCTCTTCTTCTTCTTCCGCCTGGAGGCTATGGAGAATAGCCTATGGAGAACAGCTACAAGTCTCGAGTTCACCTAGTTCGGTGCCAGTTGTTGCTATTTCCACTTAACCGCTAAGGAACCAGAACGGCACTTTTGGCTGTGCCAAATAACATGACCCAGAGCAATTGCTTGGTCTCCCTGGTTCTATTCTTGTCAAAAATACTTTCTGAACCAGTTCATCCTGTGTTGGCAACTGCTCACAATCTTGTCCTCATCCTTTTTTGCGTTTTATTCGAACGCCTAGACTGTCCCGCCTTGACTGCTGCGTCTGCTGCCTCGTGCAGCTCTTCCTTCAGCTTGGCAGCCTCGCCACATCTAGAGAGCACGGCTATCGAAGGTGCACGTCAATCCCCCGATTTTCCGAAAAAGATCTTGAAGTCACAGCGATGGCCTCCAACCTAATAGGAATGGCCTCCAACCTAAGAGCGATGGCCTCCCTCCTAGTAGGTTGTGAAGGGTTTTGAAGTCACAGCTGAAACGTTATCTTCTTTCAAAACGTGTTCTTGCCATGTGTCTGCAGGGCAGTCCCTTCCCTGCAAGCTGAAGGTAGGAGGGGCTACAGATGTCTTTAAAAAACAGCTGCACACTTCAGACACAATCTCAAAAGCATGTAAAGAACACCCACTACGTGATTCGCCTGCCGCCCATGGACCCAGAGTCGAGCGAGGTGGGGCCTTTTGCTCCTCTTTGACGCGTTGCTTCTCCTGCTTCGCCTTCAGCTTCTCCAGCTTGGCTTCAGCTTTCTTCTTCGCCTCACAGCTTCTCAGCAGCTGAATCTCAGCTTCACCAACTAGTTAGCTGGTCCCTTGAACGCTTTTTAAAACAAACATCATTTTTCACACACTTTTAATTGTCCAGGTAAGCAAGACATACCGAAGAGTGTGAAAGGTGGGGATCTGAATGTGAAGAGGTGAGGTGCACAAGAAATACCGAGCTTTCTGAGGTGAGCATCCCCATAGGTCGCTCCTTTTCAGCTTTCTTTCTCAGCTCCTCTGCTCTCTTTTGTGCCTGGCAGCACAGCTTTTCATCCACAAAGATAAGAAGATCGTGTTCTTCCCTTTTCGTTTTTTCTCTAAACATTACTACTAGGAGCAAGTTCGCTGCTAGGAACAAGTGCATCGCTTCTAGTAACAAGTGCCTTACTAGTAGTAACAAGGGACGCTACTAATTAGGGGCTCCTGGCATACTTCATCTCTTTAGACATTCCTTTCTTCTTACTTTTGAATTGTGCTCGCCTTCTCAGCTTTCTTCTGAGCTTCCAGGCGAGCCTGTTCTTGCTCCGCCTTCTGCTGCATCCGCTCCAGCTTCAGCTGGGCCTCACTTCGAACGTAGTTTTGTAAGGCAAATTCCATCAAGAAAAACACACACCATGTCTTAAACAAGAACATGTTTGACACATATATACATATATATATATATGGGCTCGTGACGATTTGGGGGCCCCCTGTGAGATAAGATAATCATTATTTCCAAGTATGGTTTATATGGCCTTGCTCAGGCTGCTCTAGAAGAATGGCTTCTCCAAAATATCAAGGGGCGTAGCAGTTCACCAGCCCTTGCCATTGAAGATGAAAAGCAGGAGCATCCCCAGGCATCAGCAGCAATCCTCTTGAAGATGAAAAGCATGAGCGTCCCAAGGCATCAGCGGCAGACTCTCCAAGACAACATGGGCCAGGCATCCACCGAAGCAGAAGGCCAAGCGGCACAGGCAGACTTTGAAGCTGATGCTGCTGCTGATGACGAGAAGACCGGGTCTGATGAAAGTGCTGCCTCAGATTCTTCGTCCTCAAGTTCCTCCACCAAGGGCGCCAAGCGGCGGCGCTTGTTGAATATGGCCCTGACCAACCTCGAGAGCCCTGACCATTCTGACTGTCATGACTGCAGCCGCCTCATTGTGCAGACCATCAACGCGATCAAGGAACCCATCTGAGCATTGTCTGGCAAGAACCCTGAGAAAAAAAAAGCTGTCTTGCTGCTGCTCCTCACAAGGGGCCCCCAAAACGTGGGCGCCCATATATATATATATATGTATATATAATCTATTATCTTCCTGCTGTTTCAAGTCAACATTTGTTCTTCTTCTTGTCGTCTTTCCGGCTTTCTTCCTTTCCCCTGTTCTTATGTCTACTATGCCGCCCTTTTATCACTTGCAAATCTCTTTACGCTACTAGGGGCTCCTGGCATCGCTACTAGTAACAAGAAGCTACTAGGGACTCCTGGCCTTTCTACTAGGAACAAGAAGCTAGTAGAAACAAGTGCATCGCTACTAGTAACAAGTGCTTCGCTACTAGTAACAAGTGCATCGCTACTAGTAACAAGTGCATCGCTACTAGTAACAAGTGCATCGCTACTAGTAACAAGTGCCTCGCTACTAGTAACAAGTACATCGCTACTAGTAACAAGTGCTACTAGTAACAAGTACATCGCTACTAGTAACAAGTGCATCGCTACTAGTAACAAGTACATCGCTACTAGTAGCAAGTACATCGCTACTAGTAACAAGTACATCGCTACTAGTAACAAGTGCATCGCTACTAGGAACAAGTACATCCCTACTAGTAACAAGTGCATCGCTACTAGTAACAAGTACAGCGCTACTAGTAACAAGTACATCGCTACTAGTAACAAGTACATCGCTACTAGTAACAAGTGCATCGCTACTAGTAACAAGTGCATAGCTACTAGTAACAAGTGCATCGCTACTAGTAACAAGTGCATCGCTACTAGTAACAAGTGCATCGCTAATAGTAACGAGTACATCGCTACTAGTGACAAGTGCATCGCTACTAGTAACAAGTACATCGCTACTAGTAACAAGTGCATCGCTACTAGTAACAAGTGCATCG